GATGGCCACACCTAATTAACATTAAAATTTTGGGGGAGGGGCTGGGATTCTGAGTAATGGGCCAAATCATAAATTATGATACAGACGTATGGCATGCTTAACATTGCAATATTCTATTCTCCCATTTGTAATCTCATAGTGTATATAATTTTGCATCATCAGTTTATATAATTTATGTGTATTTTTTCATTTGTATTCTTTAATTTTCTATTGGTACTGTAATGCATAATTTTTCTTTTTTATTTCATAATTTTTCATTGGTATTACATGTATATTATAGAATTATTTTTTTTAATTTGTTTTGTATAATTGTACATTTTGATGGAAATCAAATCATACAGTGAATAAAATAGAAAACTATAGAATGCAAATGGAAAAATTGTAAAATGCAAATGCAAAATTATAGAATATACAAATACTGCAACATTTGACAATCATACAAAGTTATTCTGCTAATGCCACTCACTTTAAATCTCTGGGGAGGGTGTTAATGACCACCCAGGTGAAACGCCAGCCCCCTGTGGCTAGATACACCACGAACACAATAAGGGTGGTCAAGGCACAGGACAGACCGAGGTAGTAGGACAGGAAACATCCCAGCGCAAAATACACGCCACACTTCAGCAGACTCATGTTGTCCCTCGCTAGGTCCAAAGTCCGCCTGATCTGGCGAGCAACCACAAACAAGCCGGTCTTTGTACCGGACATGTGCACTCTCCTATAACGATGTTTAATCTTTAAAGCCGCCTCTCCTATGTTGTCGACCTAGCTTTTTAAATGCTAGATTAAACACATAGCTTTATGCTCATGATTAATAAATCTTCATGATCAATTAACATGAATATCTGACTGTTGTCAAGAAATTATTAGCAGTGTGCTTATTTTCCGGATGTTTACGTTCGATTTCTTTCGGTCTGGCTTTTTACCCCCAAATAGTCTTGTTTCCTTATTTCACCTTGTCAACAAATGTCATAGGTTTCAGGGATAAGAACATCCAATTTTAAGATAATATATACGATACATATTATATTGCCATTATTTTATAAGATAACCCATATAACATGTATAACATACAGGTAAATTATCGAAGCAAGAGAGATAACTCTTATGAGTGGACATGAAACACAAATCAAAGTACTGAAAATCCTGTCAATCCTTGCAATACACCTGTAACAACAGGCACCTGTAAACGCATGCAGTGCGTTGATATTCAGTAGAACAACAGGCCAGTATTAGAGGGGAAAGAGATCTTTCCATCATTCGACGCAGTAAAAAGTGTTGGTCCGAATATTTTACAAATATATTTCATTTATTTTACAGAACGAAGTGGAATTTTAAACTGTCCTGCATAAACATAATAAATACAAACATTAATACTCAACTTAATATTTATGGTCTCTAAACCTTTTATCCTATCCATATCTTTATACCTACAGCCTGCAACCTTTATATTCACAGCTACTCATCCGCCATACACACAACCACTCAACGTTATATTCACTTTTATATCCTTAACCACTCACCTTTATATCATAAACCACTCATCTTTATATCTTTAACAGCTTACCTTTATATCCTTAACCACTCACCTTTGTATCCTTAAGCACTCATCTTTATATTCTTAACCACTCACCTTTATATCCTTAACCACTTAACTTTATATCCTTAAGCACTCATCTTTATATCCTTAACCACTCACTTTTATATCCTTTATCACTAATCTTTATATCCTTAACCACTTATCTTGATATCTTTAACCACTCATCTTTTTAAGCATTGAATTCATATTTTGGGATGTCTTCGGTCCTATAACACACCTGGCCGTGTCGACAAATTGAATACCGCGCGTTAGCGCGGTATGATAATTTGTCGGCACGGCCAGGTGTGTTATAGGACCGAAGACATCCCAAAATATGAATTCAAAACTTATATTTACATTCTTTAATTTTTCCTCTTCATAATTGTTTATTTTGGTAATCTTTGATGTGAATTTAGCGCTCTTCAAAACTGGTGTGCTTTATAGACGTAAGAGCCATTTGTGACGTTTGTGACGTCGTAAAATTAAATAACGCAAACGAATATTGCGAGGAAAAAAGTGACAAATTAATTTTAAATGCACATTTGTTGTATTTTTACGTTAATTCAACAGGGTTAATTTTTAAAAAATTAAAGTGTGTCAAATAATGTACATTTTGGTGTTCATAAAGTATTGAAAATGCATATACTGTAGTTTCTTCTGTGTATTCTAACGCGCGGTGACAAGGTTTCGCGTGTGTTATAGAGAATAATTAAACGTCATGGATTTCTAATGGATTTCATAAAGAAAATTACACTGAATGTAAATATATCTTTATATTTACATACAGTGTAATTTTCCTTAAGAAATCCTTTAGAAATCCACGACGTTCAAATTTCTATAACACACGCGAAACCTTGTCACCGCGCGATAGAATACACAGTCGGAACTATATGCATTTTCAATACTCTAGGAACACCAAAATGTAAAATGTTTTATTTCAATTTAATGAAAAATTATAAACCTGAAAAATAAACGTAAAAATTAACGTAATATGCATTTAAAATTAATTTGACACTTTTTTACTCGCAATGTTTGTTTGCGTTATTTAACTTTGCGACGTCATTTAACGTCATTTGAGCTGCTCTTACATCTATTAACCACGGCAGTTTTGAAGGGCAATAAATTCACATTTAAGATTAACGAAATAAGCAATTATGAAGAAGGAAAATAAGAGAATGTAAATATAAGCATTGGATTCATATTCCTATAACACACCTGGCCGTGCCGACAAATTATCATACAGCGCTAACGCGCGGTATTCAATTTGTCGGCACGGCCAGGTGTGTTATAGGGCCGAAGACATCCAAAATTATGAATTCAATGCTTAAAACCACTCATCTTTATATCCTTAACCACTTACCTTTATATCCTTTATCACTAATCTTTATATCCTTAACCACTCATCTATTATATCCATAACTACTCACATTTATATCCTGAACCAGTCAATTTCATATCCTTAATCACTTACCTTTATATCGTAGCTGCAATATGTTGACAGACCGGAGAGCTACAGTGCCATCCACTGAAAAAAAAACTTTATATCTATTGCGGATAAAAATTTCTGACCTCAATGCAAAAAAAGGCTAAATTTCTAATCATTCCTCACTTTTCTATCAAGTACTCTCGTAGTTGACTTCTGCACGAATCGCGTTAGACCGAATTATCTTGCAAACAAGATAAAAAAATGGCAGTTTAAATAGACGAAATTTTCGATCATCTCAATTTCAGGGCCAGTGTGGCTACAATCAACAATTATAAGGAATGTTTTGTTGTGGAAACAGTGAAAGAATATATTAGGATCACACGGTTAGTAATGTTTTGAGATGAAAATTTGAAATTCGGGGAGAAATAAATCGAAAAACAGCGCACTTTTTGTGCGCAATAAATATATACTTTTTTCAATGGGTGGCACTGTAGCTCTCCGATCTGTCAATATATTTTTTTTCGGAGAGCTACAGTTCTGCAGCTATTTATATCGTTGACTACTCACCTACCGTAGTATGTATCCTCTACCACTCACCTTCATATCCTTAACCACACACTTTCATATCCCTTGCTACCCATCTTTTCAGACATCATTTCTACTCATGTTTAAATTCTTTGCTACCCATCTTAATATCCTTTGCTACTCATTTTATATCCTTTGCTATACTCTTCATATCCCTTCCTGCTGATCCATTTGTCCTTTGCTACTCATCTCTATATCCCCTCTCTCATCTTTATATCCTTTCTTCATCTTTATATCCTTTGCTACTCACCTTACACCCTTTCTTCTCAGCTGTATATCATTTGCTACTCATCTTTATATCCTGTATACGCAATTTATATCCTTTGCTACCCATCTCTATATCCTTAGCCACTTATTTCCATAATTCAGTTTCATGTTTAAATGCTTGAATTTTCGTTTGGTCAAACTTTCGATGTTTAAAAGAAACAAAATATTGATTTGTGGGGACTTGATTTCGTGGTTCTTGATTTCGTGGTTGAACAATGTTTAGTAGTAATGTATGGCACGCCAAATTCACAAAAATGAGCTAAACATAGTTTCACAGTCGATAAACTAGGTTTATGGGTTGTAAACTATAGTTTACGGACTGTAAACTATAGTTAACAACGTTAATCTATGTTTTACATCCGTAAACCATAGTTAACGCGATAATCTATGTTTCACAACCGTAAACTATACTTAACACTGAAAACAATCATTTGCGATTGCAAAACATAGATTATCTGATAAATACAGTTTCACGATTTGTAAACTATAGCTTACAAACAGTTAACTATAGTTAACGATCTGATAAATATAGTTTCACGATTTGTGAAACTATGATTAACAACTCCTAACTATAGTTTACGATTGTAAACTATAGTTTACAAACGTGAATCTATGTTTATCAACAAAATCTATTGTTAACGCTTATTATAGACAGATAAACTTAGATTATCATTCGTAAACTATAGTTAACAACCGTTAAACATAGTTTTACAGATGAAAACTATACTTAACGAATCGTTAACTATAGTTTACGGTTTGTAAACTATAGTTTACAGTCAATAAACCTAGTTTATCAAATGTGAAACTAGGTTTATCTCATTTTTGTGAATTTGGCGTGCCATAGTAATGCATATGAATGTGGTGAACATAAATTGTGGGCCTCTCAATATACCTAGGAAACAGAGGAAATTAAACTCCTAAGAAAATTAGTGAGTTCACTTTAAAGCAAAATTAGTTACTTATCATAAAACAATCATTGCTCAGTTATTTCTTTAAACAACAGACTGAACCTTTTGAACTGATAAGAACTTTGTTTATATGGTTTGACACTGAGTAAAATTATAATTTATTCTTATCAGGTTTTCCTTTAGTGTCTGCATGCATAGTAATACACCCATTTGTAACAGCTAGCAGATACACACACTTGTAACGGATAGCAGGTAAGTTTTTGTTGTAGATAACAATCCCTATATAGGTAATCATTTAAAATCAAATTATTATCAAAATGGTACTATCTCTAATTTTTCATGGGTCCGTTTTTGCTTTTGGTCTGCAGCTCTCAATTTTTATTCATTTATTTAATTAGCCTTTGAGCATAAATAATATTCGTATTGTATCATTTATCATTAAATTCATTCACAGTTATGCCGAAAATTACACCCAGAATTAATTTAGGTCGTAGGATACCCAAAATCCATTGTGTGTGGGATTTTAATCATGTCTTCTTGCATTTCATTGTTTAACGTACAAATTAATTTGTTACATGGCCAATAAGGCTAGATTAGTAAAGAAAAACTTTTTGATAAATGTGCAGTATACATTTGTAATGGCAATATACCGGTAAATGCGGGTACAAACAGTTTTAACATTTTATAGAATTATTTTCTTGAGTATCAAATGTCTGTATACCGCAGATGTTATGCAGACTTTTAAATTGTCCCATAACTCTATCTAAAAAATCTTAATTTTGCTAGCTTTAGATTGATCTGACAGCACTGAAAGAGTTTTATTTTCATCAGGAAAATTATGAGAGAATCCCTTTAAACAGTATTTTAAAAATATTGATCACGAAGATCAAAGTATAAAAAAAAAATGAAAATATTTTCCCCTAAGATTGTAGGCGTTAAAGGAAACTTTTATCAGAGTGACAGTGAATGTAATATATGAAATATGGAAATAACAAACAGTAGTCAAATTCATAAGCCCACTGAAACAATACAAATCGGGAAGAGAGCAATCAGGGACCTCTAAAAACATCAGAGATGGGGTCAGGTGCCATGGAGGGTCAAGTATCCCTGTTGACAGGTCACGTCCGCCGTGTGCTCCTTGTCATGATCGGATAAAGGAAAAGTCTGTGGAAAAAAGGCATAACAATTTGTATCAGAAAGCATTCCACTTAATCATAGATTTATTAGATGATAAGATCATTGTATCAAACATACACCTTGTAGAATGATGACTTTAGTGTTAATAACCTTGTTTCACCAACTTGTTGTCAATAAACAGCTTGTCTTGTTTTAGAAAATGATCTTACGTAGAGCATGACTTTGCGTGTCGAATCAATGTGAGATATAAACACCATTTAGCCGGTGATACAATGAAGCGCATTGAAGTGGTAAAATTTTCTGTTTGGATGGAACGTTTTGAGCTATCTTTAGACACGCCCATTTCTTTAGAAAGGAAAATTCGGTCAAATGATTCAATCGAATACATGTAGAACAGGTATTTCATAAATATAATAGCCAATGAAATTGACGGTCTACGTAAACACCGAGAAAGCACGTGTTCGACCGATACATGTCTTATAGTAACTCCAATCAACATAATAAAATCATAATTATGTACAAATCCGTTGCAATGCGTGTTTTATATAAGCGGGAACTCTATATACATAGCTCTTTCTTATTTAAAAATCTTCATTTCAGTGTAGCTCATGTTGCTTGTCGCGGAAAGTGTAGTGTCCTAAAACATTACGACGAATATTCCTTTCTCGTTTCTAAAGAAATGGGTGTGGCGTTATGTTATAATTGACGTTCAAAACATGACTCAGAACGTTTCGTCCAAATGGAAAATTTTACCACTTCAATGCGCTTCATTGTGTAAGTGTACATTAGTGGTGTTAATTGATATTATATGGAAGATATAACTTAATGTCGAGTTTAACAGCAAGTTTTTTTCTTTTTCTTGCATAAGTTTTTCATAAATTCTGCTTCATATGAATACAAAAATAATCTGCTAATACACGGTTTGCAGTTGGGAATTCTGACAAATGAATTTTGATTATTGGAAGACTTGATCTCCAAAATCTACATAGATTTTGTATATCGGGAACTCAGGCATCTTTTAAATTTCAACTTCGGAATACTTGTAAGTACAATCAGAATGTCTTTAACAAATAAAATTTGCTAATGAGCATTGAAAACGTCAGTAAATTTACGAGTTCCATTTTTATTTTAAAAAACAGTTGTCTGTATATCACGCAATGTTTTTTTTTTTTGTGACGATCCATAAAATCAAGACCCTCAATTCATCAAAAAGACATATTCCAAATACAAGTGATTTACCAGAATTTGTTATAAAATAGTATTTAAAAAATACCCCACATTTTATATTTTAATAAAAATTGTAGGAAGAAACATTTATTTCTCAGTTTAAAATTTAGTTATTGATATATATAGATCTTACAGAACAATGCCAAAATCCATATTGATCGACTGTGATGCAGGGATAGATGATGCTCAAGCTCTGTTTTTGGCTCTCAGCTCACCGGAAGTAAATGTCGTCGCCATCACCGTTGTTCATGGGAACGTACTGACAAAGCAAGTGGCTGTCAACGTACTGCGCATACTCCGAGTAGTAGAGAGATTGGATGTAAGTGGAATACATCGTTCAATTTTGCAGACAGATTTTGTTTTGACGCAAACCTGTATTTTGCCTGATCGTTTGTGTGTCAAAATTTTATTTATTTAAATCATGTTGTAATATATAGCTTTATATTTGTAAAGAACATTTATTGTGATTATACCATTTAATCTTACTCATAGATAATCAAATCAAATAATTATTATGTTCGATTTTGTGCCGGTGGAAGTAAGCTTGTTACTCTCTCTTGGAGTGAGCATTCAGACAGAATCTGAATACCGTCTCTTAGTATGTCTGTTCTAAAAAGCTTAAGTTCTACAGATAGTCACTGACAAAAGAGAAACTTTATTCAAATACTGTAAAATCACGTATTTTCGTGGGGTCAAATTTTTAAGGTTTGAGGAAAAAATGTGGCAGGTTTATGGGGATTTGATTTCATGGCTGGAAAATGTTTAGTAGTAATGCATGTATACCCCCCCCCCCGGTAGTTTTATATTTCATGGTGGTCATAAACCCGTGGATCCCCCGGACTCTCTCCATACCTCGAAAACAACGAAATCAAAACCCCATGAAAATGAGTGATTTGAGAGGTCAGTTCTTTAGATGTATAGACCTTACAGAAAGCAAATCTAGGAGATTGTACCAATTTAAAAGAGTACATTTGTTTAATTTCTTTTCTTATCAGCTAAGGTCAAGATCTAGTAAATGAAAGGTGCCTACAGATTTCTCAAATTTGAGAAATACATTCCTTTAATGATGCTTTGTAAGTTTATCTTGGTCAAATAAGGAGTTTCAGGGCATCATTTGTAGATAAACAAGATGAAAAATCCTAATTTAAACTGTCATTTTAAATGACAAATTAAGAAAACCAGTTATGAATATTGAACTTTTTTCAAGACCAGACAAAGGAAATGTATCCAGATTGCCTACAGTCTCACACATAAAGGTACTTTGAATGTTTTTGGCCTCTTCTTTAAAATGATATCAAATTTCATATAGGTATAGGGGCTACTTTTTGTATGATTTCAAACTGAATTTCATGAAAATTCCTTATTTACTACATAATTCAAGAACAAAGTACAGATTCAATACAAATTAAGCCCTATATTTTTCTAAAATATGAAAGTGATATAAGAAATCAAAATTCATTCTTTCTGAATCGTAGGAATTCCCTGCAGTAAGAATACACAGATCGTTTTCTCATATGACCTCCTAAATGCTAATTATGACGTCATTAACATTTTCCCGTATTTCTTTTTAAAGTTGCAAAAGACATCAATTTTCAGTGGAATTTTCTTTCAGAAAACATTCTTTGACACCGTCGGCCATAAAGATTATGAGATGTGATTTTTCATAGCAGTTTCATAATATATTTAAAAATCAAAGTGGGCGACGGTGGCAGACACTAATTTCTGAAGGAAAATAAGCACAGAATGAGTAATTTTGAGGTTTTTCTGCATAAAACTTAGAAATGTACCAAATTAATGGCGTCATATTTCAAGAAAGGTCCTCCTTCATGCCATATTCTTTATTGATTTATCGTATTCATCTACTTAACTATTGTTAAAGCGAATTTCATAACTTTTTAGGAACATTAAATTTTTAGGGCACAATAAAGCCCAAACTAGCTGTGCCGTCTTCTTTGCTGTAAAGTACAGAAAAAAGACATTTGAAAATGATTATATGACGTCATAATGGATCTACAAGGTATTATGTCATACACATTATGACGTCACAGTTACGAAAAGCACCTGCACACAGGGCCGGTAACATACTATACCGGTATACTATTTTGAATTTACGTAATCACTATAAACCATTTTGTATGTAACTGTTATAGTGATTACGTAAAATCAGATTTACCATGATACTGGCCCGATAATAGAATCTGTGTCGTGAATGCTTTTCTCTGGTGTTTAAATTCAAGTATGATTGTGACTTTTACTGGGAAGTTGCAAATAAAAATGCAATATTTTTATAATCATACATGTATGTACCAGTATATACTCAGAAAGTTCTCTTTCCTGTGGTATTCTGAAGGACCGTCTGTCGTACTAATGATTACAATTAGATACCTGTCTATGTTGGGAGCGAGACAAGTATTTTGGGCCACGAGAGACGACATGATGACGAACCCTACCATGGCTGGGATGGACTGGGGGATTCGCCAGATCCCGAAGCTGTAGACGAATCTTTGATAAATCCGGAACCCGCCTCAGCCGCCATTGTGAGAATCTGCCGCGAATACCGAGGTATGAATTCCTCTTTTATTTGTATGTATTTTGCATGGGGTAAATTATTGCAGCTTTGTTGCACAGTTTGTATCTGGTACCACCCTAACAAAAAAAAACTATTGTTAACTATAGTTTACTATAGTTAACTATAGAACCAAAGTTAAAACTTTGATTTACTATGGTGAAAACTTTGGAACTTTGATTTACTATAGTAAAAACTTTGGAACTTTGATTTACTATAGTAAAAAACTTTGGAACTTTGTATTTTTTGTTAGGGCAGTTGTCTCTGATAACTTTTGTTGGCCTAACTTCTAGATGCATTCTCTCTTTTTGCATACGAGTCATTATAAAATTATAAATATACTAACTTTATATACACAGTTACGTTTTTGTTACCTGGAACTAATAGTTTATTTCACCTTGTTGTCACCATTTAGTGCTTGATACCCTCTTCAGATTCACTCGAATATTGTGAACATTGGTCAGCACATTAAAGCTTATTAGCTCATCAATTTTTGCTATTTTTTATAGACAGTTTGACATTGGTGTGTTTGGGACCCCTTACAAATGTGGCCACTGCAATAAGACTGGACCCCGCCCTGGGTCAGAGAATACAACACTGTGTAATAATGGGCGGGAATTATTATGGTAAGTCAAACCAAACAATTTTTTACAAAGTAAAGGTTCAAAGAAAATAAAACGGGGTTCCATTAAAAAATATTAAAAAAAAATTTATATAAAACGCGAAAAAATATTTTCAAAAATAAATCGATTGTCTTTCTGGGACACTGAAAAAGAAACAATGGGATTTTTCACAGGCATGTAGTTGTTGGAAAACTGGTACATATATTTAGAACTTATGCAAGTCAATGGCAGATTCTAAGCTTTTTTCTTATAAATCAGCAGTTTTTGTCATTTAACATTTGTTCTGAATCTGCAGACGGAACTGAGAATTGTACATATTTCCCGTTCTTTATTCGAACACTCTCCTCGCCAGAAACACCCCGTTGTTCTCCATTTGTTATTGCTGATTGTTCGGGTTTTTTACTTAAGATAGTTTTGTTGGGCACAGGATCTAGCTGTTCTTTGATAACACTAAGTTTAACATCTTCAACTTGTTGTAAGTGCGTATACTTTCCGTAGACCACCGTCTCTGAATTCTGTCTATCTTCACTATCCAGGCGACTTTTTGCACTGTAGATCACAAGTGTCAGAAAAATTAGAAGGATGACTCCAGAGATTATTATGGCCACCAACATCTTCAAATGCATTCCTGAAAATAATTTAAAGAACTTTAAGAGATTTAATTGCCCCTACAGGAATTGTGCTACAGAAAGTTATACAGTAGTTATTGTAATGATAACTTTACAGACCTTTACCGTCTTTCCCAGTTGAGAAGACTGCTTGACATACAACCGTCGAACTTTTGTTGCAATCGAAAGAAGCGACTGGTGAGCTGCTTTCAATATTGGGACATTGTCTTTTTGATGTTATATTTCTTTGTTCTTTCCAATCATAATAGTTAATGATATCAGATGTGGTGTTGTCATTTTCTTGTAAGTTTCCTAACCACGTGACTGATGTGATATTGAGATCCAGAAGAACGTATCTGCTTCCGAAAGGAAGGAGTTCCCCTCCCGCCTCTCGACACGAAGAAAATGCTTTGTCATAAAATTCTGTATTGTCCATAACCTTAAAGCACTCGGAATTGATATGCTTCCATGTTTTGTCGGGGCAAGAACCTTATTTCAAAAAGAACAAGATGCAAGAAGTTACAAGGAAAACTACTGTTGAAAGCATTAATTTTTCGAGCATGACACTTTTTCCTTCTATTTGGAATACCCGATTATGAGTCGTCTTTCCATGATGGCGTTCGTCTCCATCGAGAATAACTGTAGGTGCTAAATTCTTATAGTCTGTAACTTGTTAACTACATAAGAAAGTACCCAGAATTTTTCTTTGCTTGTGCATATTGTTGAATTTTGATCAAAACTGCAAAAATTATTTTACAGGGGTTCCCTTTTTTTTCAAATGAATACAATATTAATAAGTGTAATTATTTAGATTGGGGGGGGGTTCAACAAGCCCCGAGAATTAATTGGTAGAGGGTTCAGTCCATAAGTATGATAAGCATCAGAATACCTCTCTTTCTGTATTCATACGAATGTGATGAATATTAACGGAACATTTTGATATTTTTCAAAGAAAAAGTATTTCAATGAATGAATATAAAACAGATACATGTACCGGTGTATATAGATCAATATGATGACCGGAAGACATGATGAAGCTAAAAAATCAATTACATGTATTTTTTTAGTTGAATGAGTCTGATCATTAGCCCCTTCATCCCATCCCACCCTTT